GGCGGAATCTGTCTCAAGCAGTCTGCCTGTCCCAGCTCCCCAGTGTCCAGAGCACCGCATAGTGTAGGTTTCTGCTCCCAAAGCAGACCTCCCGGGCTGGGTGTCCAGCAGTCCCAGGCTTCCACCCCCTCCCAGCTCCATTTCTCTTCCTCCTGCTGGTGAGCTGGGGTGGGGGAAGGGCCTGGGTCCCACCCGATCAAGGCTTTGGTGCGTTGCCCTGTTTTGTGAGGTCTGCTCTGTTCATGAGGTCTGTGTGCAGCCTGGTGCAGCCCTCTTTCCTGTTGCTGTTTTAGGGTTAGTTGTATTAACTCTATTTTGCAGTATCTGTGGTTTTGGGAGGAGTTCTGTCTCACTTCTCATGCCACCGTCTTGAATCTCTGCCTGTTTTTGAGCTGGAACATTGATCTTCCTTTGCATTTGGGATGGAATTCAGCATGAAGGTACATCCTGGGCACCCCTGGGTCTCCAGCTTGCTGCTTTCAGGGCATGGGACTTCTCAGCCTCCATAATCATGTGGGCCAATTCCTTACAACAAATCTCTCCCTCTCCCTAGGTCTTATTGGCTCTGTGTCTCTGGAAAGCCCCGACTAGCGCACGACTCCCAGAACCCAAGTTGCAGAGAGGGGTTCGTACTCACTGACAGGCCTGAGCACACACTCAACTCAAGCACATGCTCAAGGTGATGAGTGAAGAGGAAGGTAGGACGGAAGAGGAGGTGAGACTTAGGGAGACTCTCCAAGAGAGGGACCTGGGGGCTTTGCTACGTGCCACCTGTGATGATGTAAGGCTTTGGTTTTACTGCATGGCAGTGAGCAATGGTGCTCGGCAATGACGGGGTGTTCATGGGTCAGATGGATGTAGGTTCGAAGGTGGACTGTGTGAACTGGGAACTGGGTTTCCAGAATCCTTGCTTAGTGTTTATTCCACTCTAAGTGGCTGCCTTTAGCAGGGGGCCAAGTTGAGGTAGAGAACCCACAGTTCAGGCTTCCAGACAGTGGTGCTTCTTAAAACCATTGCTTTATGAAATATTGAATAGATACAGTTTATGCAAGTATGATGACAACATGAAGAATAACAGCGCAAGGAGTCATGAAACACAGCCCTGCTACCCAGGGTTGCAAAATGAGCAATACCATTCTCTCTTTTTTTTTTGAGAGGGCATCTCTCATATTTATTGATCAAATGGTTGTTAACAACAATAAAATTCTGTATAGGGGGGTCAATGCTCAATGCACAATCATTAATCCATCTCAAGCCTAATTCTCGTCAGTCTCCAATCTTCTGAAGCATAACGAACAAGTTCTTACATGGTGAGCAGTACAAGGGCAGTCATCACAGAAACTTTCGGTTTTGATCACGCATCATGAACTATAAACAATCAGGTCAAATATGAATATTCGTTTGATTTTTATACTTGATTTATATGTTGATCCCACATTTCTCCCTTTATTATTATTATTATTTTTATATTTAATAAAATGCAATACCATTCTCTTTTAAGTTCCCAGTGCCTCTCGCCAATCTCTTCTCTGACCTCCTTCTTAGAGGTTTGTCATTCTCCTGCTCCTCGTTAATTTTACCACACGTTTATATTCCTAAATAGTATCTTGTTTTGTTTTGCATGGTTTTGAACTTTGTGTAGCTGAAATTACACTGTATGTGTTCTTCTGTGACTTTCTTCTGCTCATTTCTGTTGAGAGATTCACCCATATTGTTGCTTGCAGCTGTAGTTCATGGATTTTTCACCCCAGGCTAACGTTCCATGGTGCAAACACATCACAATTTATTTTACCATTTCACTATGGATGGACAGCTGGGTAGTTTCTAGACTTTTGCTTGTTCTTATCTCTTGCTATGAATATTTGGATAAGGGGAAAAACCCCACCTCTGGCAGAGGCTGGAAGGAATTCAGGTTACATCTGAATATTGCTTGGCTTGGTTTTGTAGAGGACTTAAAGAGTTTTAAAAAAATTGGTCTCTGTCTCCTTATATCTCCAAACTTTGATCTCATTGTGACCAGGAGAATCAAAGCAAGGCCTAGTAAAGTGAGGGGACTCTCCTGAATTTTGGCTGTTACAGTGAAATTGGAGTGCATGGAGCAGTCATGGCCTTCAGTTGTGGACATAGGCCGTAATGCTGAAAGCACCGGCCACATCCATGCAATTATCTACATTGGTATAGAAATTTGAAGACTTCCTGAAGTTTGAAGGGGAATCTTTGGGAATTTTTCAGGGTGACCAATCTACTGACCTGTAAATATTCATAAGTTGTCTACTTTGTGCAAGACGTTCTGACAGGCCTGACTGACATACATGGACACTTACAAGGCACAGGAAAAGCCATCCCAGAGCTTGACGCCCTTGTGTGCTGACTGGGCACCAACACAAGGCCATGTGTACTGAGGGCCCAGTGAATGCATGAGGGTGTGCCTTCTGGAAGCTTTCTGTTCTACTCTGGACTGAAAGTTCTGTGAGACTTTCCGTTGTGCGTCTTTATATTTGAATGATGAATGAATGAAGGGACTGGAGTTGTCAGGAAGGACTCTGTGGAGAAGGCAAGTGTTGGTGAGAACATGGAGCTGGCAGCCCTGACCTGGAATGTGAGGAGATCTGGGATAGGTGACGGTGCTGGGCCTTGGCCTTGGCAAGGCACTGGCCTTGGAGAGGAGGGAGCCAGGCTGCAGGAAAGCTCTTTAGGCAAAGAAGTGGGGAAGATGGCTGGAAGGCTGGGCCAGGGTCCAAAAGTCAACGTCTTGGATGCCAAGTTAGGAGTTGTTTTCCTTCTACAGTTAGTGAGAACAACATCATGGGAGTGTTTTGAGCAGGGGAGAAAAACTGTTTTGGGGAGATTCTGGTATTAGAGGGATGCAGAAAAGAGAGTGTTGGCTGGGGTGATGAGATAACTGGCTCACCTATCTCTGGCTTGGGTGGGGCTTATGTACACAGTGGCTCTTGGAGGATGTCCAGGACCTGTAAGAGTGGACAAGCTCTAAGGCACAGCACTTTTCAAAAGCTTTGTATTTTCTAATGTCCCTTTTGCCAAAGCACGTCACATGCCCAGACCCTGGTTTAAGGGGGGAAAACACACTCCACTTCTTGATGGCAGGAGGCAAAAGGGACCTAGTGGCCATTTTTGAAGTCTCCACCCTGGGCTAGGAGTTGTTAAGTATCAAAGATGGGGAAGCAGCTACGATAGAAGGTGGGTGAACATCTACAGCCCACAGCATAAAAGAGAACAGAAAGGTCTGGGTGGTTGGAGTGCTGGCTTGGAAAGATGGGAAATGCTGCAGGCATCCACTTTCTGGGATACATATCTAAAAGGCATACATCTTAAAATCTGACCTGCTTATCCTCTAATTTGGATTAGCTCAGAAATTATCAAGCTCTTTCAGGCAGGTATTTAATCCAGTTTACAGAACCTGGGTGTCCAGAGAAGACTCGGGTACTTCTTTGTCTTTCCCTGTCTCTTTAGGGCTCTGAGACGTGAAAAAAAACTATGTGAAAACTGAAGTTAAGCTGTTGGAAGTTATTCCCAGTTCCTCGTCAGCCTATGGCAGCTGGGACACTCCCTCAGAACAAGACTCATGTCTCTGAGTGCCCCCCCTACCAACGCTGTCCAGCAAATTGCATCGTAGGCACAGTATTTTGGGTCTACAAGCTTTTTTTTTTTTGGTGCCATAAAAAAAGGTTTGAGTTGGTAAAAAAATTTTTAACTGAAAATTGCAGAAAGATACTGCAAAATCTAAATACATATCATAAAAGTTGTTTGAAAGCAATTTGTACAATTTCTTGCTTCCTAAGAATTCTCAGAGATGGAGTATAAGAACAAAGAAAAACTGAAGGAACAAAACAGCAGTAGAATCACAGAACCCAGGAATGGACTAACAGTTACCAAAGGAAAAGGGACTGGGGAGGATGGGTGGGAAGGGAGGGATAAGGGCAGGGGAAAAAGAAAGGGGGCATTACTATTAGCATGTATAGTGTTGTGGGGGGGGGCATGGGAGGGCTGTACTACACAGAGAAGACAGGTGGTGATTATACAGTATCTTGCTACACTGATGGACAGTGACTGTAGTGGGGTGTGTGTGTGGGACTTGGTGAGGGGGGTAGCCTGGTAAACATAGTGTTCTTCATGTAATTGTAGGTTAATGATACCAAAATAAAAAAAAAAAGAATTCTCAGCGATGCCAGAAGAGCACAGCCAACAGCAATTTAAATGACATCCTTAGAGCCAAATAAACCCGAAAGTAAAATGATAAATGTTCCTTCAGACTGAATTTTATAGCAAAACCCCAAAAAAAGTACTTAATGCAGAATGGAGGAAAATTTCTGCGTCTGGTACGTGTGGCAGTCCTTTAAATAATCGTGCTTCTGAGGGTCGCCCGAGGGTCCTAAAACAGACCCTAGAAACAGAGCTACTTTATGGATTTGGCAAGGGCCTTCCTTACATTCAAAGTATCTACTTTTCCAGGTGGGGAAGTGCAAGACCTCTGGCCGCTCAAGCTCCTTATCAGACCCAGAGAAGCCAGGCTTCTGGGGTTTCTACACAAAGCATGTCCTGAAACAACTGATTTCTGACCTTTCACCAAATTTGGCAGAGCAAGTTTCCGTGGCAGACCTCCTGCTTGACTCTGCCACGTACTCAGCAAGCTGAGCTGAGTGCCAAATGCTGGGTGCTACATACTGGGTGCCCAGTGCTGAATGCCAGGTGCTGGGTCCCAACGGCTGAGTGCTGGGTGCCAGGTGCTGGGTACCAGCTACTGGCGCGGGTGCTGGGAGCTGAGTGCAGGGTTAGGGCTCTAACTGGAGTCGCGTTACAGCCCCTGCGGAGATAAAGAGCGCGACCCTGGGCCTGCAGCGCGCCTCCGGAACTCACCCTCTTGGAAGGGGGCCACGCGCCCCGCCCCCAGCCACCGGCCCCGCCCCGTCCCGCCGCGCCTCGGGCCCCCAGCGCGGCGCGCTCCTCTGACGCACGTCGCCTTCCTCCGACGTCAGGCCCCGCCCCCCCGCGCCTGCTCTCCGCAGCCCGAGCGGCACATCCTGAGGCGACTGCTGCCGAGGCGGCGGCGGGGCTCGCGGTCGTGGTCTCTGCCGCAGCCGCTGGGGCCGCTCCCACCCAGGCGGCGGGCGATGGTGCAGCCGGGCGCGCGGCGGCGGGCATGACGGAGGATGGAAGGGCAGGACGAAGTGTCGGCGCGGGAGCAGCACTTCCAGAGCCAAGTGCGGGAGTCCACGGTGAGCGCCCGCGCCCCGCCGCTCCTGGCGGCGTCCTCCCGGCGCGCCTCCGGGCCCCGCCTCTCCGCCGCGACGCCCTCCCTGCATCCCTGCCCCCTCCACGACCCCCTCCATCCCTGCCCCCTCTCACGACCGCCCCTCCACGACCCC